GGGGGGGGGGGGGGGGGGGGAAGGCATCTGTTTTTTCACTCACCTTTCATCCCACTCCCTTCCTCCTGGAATGTGTTACGAGCAGAAGGCTGATCTTCTAAATGTTCACTCCCACCACTTCCCGAAGAGGCTACACTGCTTTGTGGAGACAGGGGGGCATGATCGGAAGGGATGCACTGGGGTCCTCTAGCTCGTAAGTCCTCATGAGACATCCATCCATGTCCTAGAGGTTGGTTTGGCACATTCATGGGTGGGGTAAGGGACACAGAGCGTTTCAAAGGGCTGTGGTGTGTCTGGCCTGAGAGAACTGAAAAAAAAATAAAATCAAAGAGGTTATTCCCCCCTCGCGGCCCGGGATACAGCAAAGTCCCCCGCAAAAAAAAAAATAAAAAAAAATTAAATGAAATCATAAAATGTGTGGTGGTTGACCACGGTGCTTCGCTGATGGCTTCGTGGTGCCCGTGGCTAGCTGAACCCTACCCTGAGCTCTCTGCTTTGCCTCCCAGGAAGCAAAAGGGATAGGAATACCTGCAAGGAGATGAGGTTACATGAGCTATGTCGGGTTGCTTAAAGAAAGGTGGATTGCTTCTCGAGGGAAAAAAAAAAAAAATAAAAAAATCGAGCAGCTCTGGAGGTGTTCCCTGTGTGGACTCACGTCCCGACAGCAAACCTGAGGATGGGACTGTGGTGGGTGCTTGGCTGCTGCCTCTCGCCAACCCTGGAGCCTTGCAGGGAAGACACCGCTGCTGTTGCGGGCGTAATGGGAATTTTCAAGCGACTACACTGAAGCCATGAAACTTGCCCCACTAAAATCATCCGGACCCGTGTCTTTCCGGGAAAGACATAAAAATCCCCAGGATGGGAATGTCCTCACACAGACCCAGGGGAAGCTGCTTTTGTTTCTCCCTTTGGGTTAGGACTTGGCTTACGCTTTGAAGCACAAGCCTAAAGTCATCACGGAGGTGCTTATCATCCATAGAAGTGCCTAAGCCCTATCAAGTCCTACTAAGACCTTGCACTTAAGTTGAGCCATCACCATCAGTGGGAGCATCCCAACTCAACCACCCATCAGGTAGGTGCCCTTCCAAGCACATGCCTTTTAACCCTCCACAAAAACAAACACCCAAAGCAGTGGTGAAAACACACCCACGACAAAGAGGTGAGGCTGAACCCCCCCTGAAAAAAAAAAAAATAATCATCTTCGCAAAGCATTGGATTTGTTTTTCCTCCCCAGCTGCATACGGGTTTGCATTTGCTGGCTGAAATTTTGATACCACCAAGTTGAATTTGTTTTTAACAAATAACTCTAACACTGTCTAGGAAAAGAGCAATGCACCAGCTCCTGTGATTTGGTGTTATTTCTCGAGAAAGGCTTTACAATGGGTAGGTATTTACTTGCCTTTCAGTCAAGCACAGAAATATGTCTTATGTAGGCTAAAGTATTAAAAAAACCCCAAATCATAGATTTTTCTGACAGGTTTTGGTAGAAGTGTTGCAACCTGAATAGATTTTTAAATACAATTTTTACTGAACGGTCTCCATTTTTCACTGTTCTTCTTCCATACTGTCTCACTCATTTTTAGTTATCTCCTTAAAGATTCAGTTATCTTTTCCTTGGGTCCGTTGGTTAGTAGGGGTAATATTTAGAGGAAAAGATGGAGATGGACAAACTATCTTTGCTTCCTGTAATGAAAAAGGTATGAAAAGATTGGTCTGTTGGCTTAACAAAATTCAAATTCCATCATTCACAAAGTCACTAAACTGCTGGTTAAACCATAAATGCAGTTACTGTATTTTAATGTACAGATTTTGGATGTTAAACACTTGTTTAATGTTTTATTGCAGTTCCTCTCAATGAAATTAGTTGAAGTTCATGGGGGCTGTTTCCTGATAATCGAGACCAAAAAAAAAAAATCTCTGGATCTAGCTGTTGCTCAGCTGAGCTGTGTCTGGGATAACCGGGACAAGATCCAGATCCAGTGCTACGGGAGGGTCCCTTCTGGTTTGCATCAAACCCAAGCCAACGCTGCTATTTTCAGTGTGCCCTTGGGTACAGAGGTGGGGTTCACATCGTGATCGCTAACAGAACATCTGCACCAGTCTGTTAACAAGGACTCATTTCTAGAAACGTGAGCAAATTCTGCAGAAAGACAGTAATTTCTCAAAATTAGCAGCTGTAAGCTTCATCGCGGGGTAGGTGAAATGAAAAGCAGATTTTTTGCTCCAGGGAAATCTGAAGGCAGAGCGGTTAAAATGATCTTTCAGCCCATATGAAACTAAAGTAAAAACTTTTCTAATTTTTCTTTCAAAACCAAATTTCTTAACTCTGTACAAAACCTGCAGGAAATTCATCATTCTCGTTGCTTTTCCTCCTAAAGCGCCAAAGCTCCCTAATCCCTGTTTTTGCACCGGTAGAAGTTCATCAAAACTACTCACAGTTTCTCCACATGTGATTTCCTAATTTAAACGAGTCTTGGTGGAAAACCCCCAGCCAGTTGTACTGTGCTTTAAAAGTTAAACCAGGTTTAATTCCCAGCTGAAGCCCGGGGGAAAATCTGCCATCAAAGCCATCTCTGCTGACCAGGAGGGGAATGAAAATGAGCAAGTAGCAGGGTTATAAAAGGAGGGGAGAGAAAAAACACCAGAGGTCGTTTGCATTTATTAAGCACCTGTAAAAAGCAGCTGGTGCCACATGCAGCTGATGGATAGGGCCAAAAACCTGTGGATTTCCTGCAATGTTTAAGTTGTTCCTATTTCTGAAAGCATTTTGTTCTACCAGCACATAACACTAACACCACGCTGTGCAGGGAAGCAAGGGAATGGCTTATGGTAAAGAATTTGTCCCCTTCCCATTAAATAACTATAGAAAGAAGTCTCCTGGCAGAAAAAGATGTCAGTGAGAACCCAGGATTGTTTTCAGAGCAGTGTTATGTTTCCTAAAGTTGAGATACATCCTGATGGGGAAATACTGAAGAAGGTCTTGGTCAAGCTATTTCAGCTCTTGGCTTTGCAACTGTATTCCAAAAGCAGCACTGTAATGGGGCTCTGTAGATGTCACATCATCCTCCCGGGAGAAAAAAAATATTTAGAATTAAAAAAATAATTAAAATGGGGGGAAATATGGGAAAAAAAAATATTTCTAAATCAGTTGAAATGCATCACCAGGGCTGAGCATTGCTGTAGCACCAGAGCCCCTTCAGTCACGTGGCTGGGGGGGTAGGAGCCACTCTGCATTTATTGTAAGAAAAACTCTGGGTTAGGAAATATCTGTGCCCTTTGAATGAACAAGAGATGCAGGGGAATGGGCAAGGAGCCAACTGCCCCCTTTCAGGAGGCAAAGGGCTGTTCTGTTAGTCCTCCCTCTTACAGGGTGTACGCAGCAGCCGGTACCCTGCAGCATTTAAGCCATCCTCTCCCCACCAAAATCTTGCAAACAAGAGGATAGTTTTGGCTTAAATCCAGCCCAGATTCCTTCCCGAGCAGCAATACCCTTGCAAACTGCTGCTCTTCCATCTTAATTTTATGTCCTCTAATTAGAAGCTGGTGTCGGCTGGAGGAGAAATAATGAACTCCACAGGATGGCCAGGAACAATTAGAAACCATCCAGTGCAACATACAGAAATTAGTTCCACTTCTTTCCCTGAGATAACGCAATGCTGGAGTCCGACAGACTATGTTTTACTAAACCACAAGCATTTTTACTGATCTACGAGTCAATTCACACATCTTCAGGAGATGCAGTAGGGTAATTCCTCTGCAAAGGATGCCACAAGCAGAAAAACTCACCAGCACTTTGAAACGACCCCAGCTACTCTTGGTACCAGAGATTATTTAAGACCTCTTAGCACGGGACTAACTTTAGGCTCCACTTAAGCCTTTTCTGGCTGTAACAGACACCAGTGAGCAACACGGTTTCTCTCAAACCCTTTTACCATCAGCGCTCAGGTTTAAAAATGCTGTGAACCCCAGGAAGGTGCCTGCCTGGTGTGTGCACACACCTCTCCCTCTTTTTATTTGTAACCCTCAGGAAGGGGATTGATAAATGTGCATATTTATTAATGCTGCTGCCTGTGTTCATGCCCTCAAGTTCTTGATATAGAGGATGTACCTAATGATTTTCCAAGTGACAGTTTAGTGTAGGTTCTCCCCTGCTTTTTTTGCTTTGTGCTTTTTGGATGGTCCAAGGCAAACCCAGGGCTGCTGATGGGCGAGCTGGGACAAGTCACTCAGTCTCTTACTACAAGAAAAGGTCCATGTGTGCTTTAACTTCAGCAGAAGAAAACCAAGTGTGATTTTATAACCTTACACTCAGTCTCCCCCCTTTTTTTTTTCTTTTTTAAATGACAAAAATCTTAAGCTTTAATTTAAAAAGGAAACCTAATATATTCTTCTAGGGTCAGATAAGCTTCCAGGAGGTGGCCAGAGGCACGCCTGCCTTTCTGAGCGCCGCAGCAGGGCAAGCTGGACGAACAAAGAGAGGAAACCACCGCTCCAAAGTGCAAGCCACGCTGGCACATGGATCCCCTACAACTTGTAAGCGTGTCCCACTTCTGGTTTAGAAGTGTTTTCCTGCCAGCTCCTTCCACCCGAGTATCCCAGGGGACGGGGGCCAGAGCAGATCACGGTCCTCCCCACAATAAGCGGGCTAGTGTCGCCTCTTTGCTCCACCACCACGGCTCTGAATGGCTGCAGGGGTTGTGCTCAGCCCACACCAGACTCTGTTTCCTTGAAAGAAAGCTCCTCTTGGCCTCCAGATCAAGGTCAGCTGCAACCCAGCAGTTACTGCTAAATATAATGCCTTTGAGATGAGCTTGGGATGTTTTGCATCCGAGGGAAAAACATGATAAAACAACCTGAAGCTAACGGTGCTGAGATGCACAAGGTGCTGCCAAAGTGTCCTCAGGCTTCAAACCAAGCTCTGCTTAATATTCCCAGAGGAAAAAAAAATTTAAGAGGATGGAAGAAGGAGTGATGCAACCGTCGTGGCACGCAGGGCTCCCCATCGCAGGAGGCGGCTGCACCCGCAGGGATGGAGCAGCCAGGAGCATCCCTGTGGGGCCACCACCTCCCTGGGCAAAACCAGCTTTATCACAGACCAAACACTGGCTGGGCTGGCAGGCACGACAACATGCTTATAGAAACTCTGAGGCTGCAAGTGCTTTCCTCATCAAGCCCTGGGTATAGGGTTTTTTTATTCTCTCTTCCTTTTTGAAGTGGTGTTGCCTATTTTGGTAGGCAAGGACTACTTTCAAGAGGGTTTTTGTTCGCTGAGGACCATGAGGAACAGCGTCAGACATTTGTGTTGTG